GGTTTGGTGGTCAAAAGCTCCAACAGGGTGATTTTAAACAGATAGTTGCTGGAAACTTGGCATATTTCATATTATGTCATGATGGATCTGGATTTGTTTCCCATGTGATAGTTATCTTTAACTTTTTATCTGCTATAATAAACAATATTCCCATTTTTTTAGATTTTCCAATATCATAGTGGCTTAAAAGGACTCTTCTTATATACTTTTACTATTTTATATTCGAAAATAAAGAAGAGTTAGATTTCTCTTGGATGAAATCATGCATTCAAAAGCCACACATTAGCAATGATAAGGTACTGACTGTTATTCTGAAAACCATGGAGATTTAAGTGGCAGCTTCAGTGTAGATAAAATTAATGAGGTTGCTCTCCTCCCACACAGAAACACGCGTGATGATCACGGTGCTCATAGGGCATTACTTAGCGTGTCAGAGGACTGAGGTCTGCCCTCGAGATTTACTGCTGTGGTCAGATTGTGAACTGGCTCCTGCTCCGTCAAAAGAAAAAGAAAACAGAGAGACCAAGAGAAATTAAGAAGAAAAACGATGAAAAGTTGAGAGAGAAGCAAAATGTTCTTTATAATGAATAAACCGTGCTCTCAGAATGTCTACCCCAATAAAATTTACCTTAGTCTACTTCTAAAGCATTTCTATTTTTCATAATATTTTATTATCTTTGGTTGTAAAAACAGATTTCTAATGAGCAGCTTCCATATTGAGTGAAGCTGGTGATTAAGCGTGCTATAATATTAATCAGAATGTCTGTGTGACTTTTCAGCAATTTAAGCACTTATTTCCCAGATATTGCTTCAGGGGCTGGAATAATGAGTCTCTTTCCTAATGACTTTAGCAGCGGATGGGGAAGACAGGGTAGCCGATTATAGAATCAAAGGTTTGTCTCCTAGGATAAGAACGGTAGGTGCGTCTACTGAACATCTGCCTGAGTTGAAAAAAAAAGAAAGGTCTCCTATTAGTCTTTTTTTGATTAAAGAAAATGTGGGAGGAAAACACAGAATGGAGGCATACTGACACAAATGTTTGATTGGTTGTGTCATCCATTTTTATAGTTTTCACGTTTTTTTTTTTCATTTATTGCTGTCTTTAAAGAACATTTCAGCAAGAAAGCTTTTTTCTGCACAGAATTCTTCCTGAACGTCTGTGGGTTTTCTTCACGTTCTGTTTTTGGACAATGGGAGGAGTTTAGAGTAATTGGTTACTTTAAATTGTGAGTTTGTGCATGGTTATTTGTCCTGCATATCTCCGTGTTGCCCTGTGATAGACTGGCAACTTGTTCACCCTGGAGATAGGCACCAGCCTCCACGCAACCCTGCAGGGATAACTGGGTTTAAATGATGGATGTATTTGTTGGAACGTATTTCCAAAGAGTCACCATCTTCAAAACTTACTTTACAAATAAATCCACCTTTATTCTTAAAATCAGCTGCTCTTATTCTGGGTTATTTTCACCAAGATTTTCCAATCTGATCCAAAAACAATACCTTGGCTTGATGCAGTTTGACTTGGGAGATGATCACATCGACATTCTTGTTTTTCTCTCTAAAGGCCATCTAATTGTCAATGTGGATGTAGCACAGTTTATGACTTTCTGTCTGACGTTTATTGACAGCATTGCCACATTCATCAAATTAACTACTGTCACATCGCTGTGCAATCACAGGAGGATTAGAGGAAGAAGAAAAAAAAACAGAAAATGGCTTGGTGGTAGAGCTGTCCCCTTTAGCAAAGCTGAAGATGTTCTTTAATTTCTGCAGCTTTCTTCTTTCACTTCTATCCCAACCCCCTTTCTTTTGTGCTAAATTATCTCTAAATTGGAAATGTAAAGGCTGGGGAAACACGGGGGAACACAATCTACTCCCTAAGCTCCATAAATGATACATTTATACAATATGTCTGCTAAGCAGTAACGAGAATTGCTGTTTATTTGGTCATCAGGGATCCACGTTATTTATCTCCAGCATACAGACTAAACCTCCAAAGAATCCACTGTACCCTTTAAGCACGATGAATTTGAATCAGATCTTAGGTGGGGTGGGAGGGCGTCTCAAAACACATCTTATGATTATGTTCTCCTCCCTCATCAAAAGGCTGGATTAGGAAGGAAAGCTCTGAGTAAAGCCAGCCTCTTATAGGGCTGCACAGAGCTTTGAGGTAAGTGTGTGAATGTATTTGTGTTTGAGGAAGAGCTTAAATAATGTAATGTTTGAATGACAGTCCTGTTCTGAAGGTTCAATAAAGGCGTCAGCAGGCAGAACAGATTTATGACTGGCACTCTGAGGGGAAAGCCTGATGGGGGGATGGAAAGAAACTCGCTATCGAGGATATCTTATTCCTCCTTTGAGAATCACCTCCTTGCTTCAATATCATGGCTCTCGGGTGCTGTATTGTCTCTGGGCTTTCTTCTGATGGTTACACTTTTCACCCCTTTTTCTTTTTATCAACCACTGCAATTTGTTTGTCTCCTGGCCATATCTTCAACTCAAACAAAGCCTTTAATTCTGTGTATATGTGAAAATAGATAATGCAAGTCAATACTTGCTTGCGTTCGCACTACAGCAGCTTGTCGATATGCTGTAAATGTGGCCAAGACGGAGGAAAAACAAGTTGCAGAGTAAAAGAGTTATCTGTAATGCAGGGATAAAATGATATGAAAAACAAGTACCCATATATCTTGATTTCTCATTTCCTTATCCACACCAACACTTCATGGTTTTGTAAATCTATTTTTGATTAATCAGCTCCAGAGAGTTAGATTTTAAGATTATTATTAATATTTTAATATCGACAGTTGTACAAATACCAGTTCCCACATTCAGTGGCCTCATGTCACCATCAGTGTCATTAACACTCAGTTAGGCGGATGCCAGTGTTACTGTAGTTCTCCGCCTTCTGCAGGAACGTGCCCTAACTGTTCCCCTCCCAAATGCTGTTTCCATCCACGCATTTTAGAGGAAAGTTTACACGTGTGTTTTACTTTTATTGCTGGAACTTGAATTTGGTTTGGTTGAATTTGGTTGCCTGTTTTTGTTTTGTTCAGTGGTATTTGGTGCTTATATTCTTTATGTGAGATGTCCATGGAGCCTGAGAGGAGGGGGGGGGGAAACAAAGATGTCAGTAGAGGCAACAAATGGGTGAAAACCCACGTAAAATATTCATAAAAAGTGATGTAAAATTAAGAAGAAGAAAAAAAAGTGGTTCAGGCCAATCTGAACCAAGACATGATGTAAACATAGCCATGGAAAAATAATTTCATTTATGTTTAATTACTTTTATTTACTATCATAGCACCCATTTCTATTCTGAGGTGTTTACAACCGCAAATAGTTGTTTTTCGCCAATATTTAAGACTTTTGTGTTTTCTTTGGACTCTGTTACATTAAAACTGCATCCATCATTTCCAGAAATGGCATTTTTCCAAACAAAGTTAGAATTTAAATAGTAAAATGCTCTGAATATGTTCAGTGTTGTGAAGAAACAGCTGCAAAATTATTTCTCAAAAAGCTCCTTTTTTTTGAATGCCTGCTACTATTAATGCACTGAGGCAGAGCTAGAAAACCCAGAAAGAAAAACATGCTAGTACCGCACTCACTCATTTTCGACTGGGTATTTTTAAAAACCCCACCCGGTATTTTTACACCACCAATGACTCTGCAAGCGTCACACTGGGAACTATGGTTTGCTGAAAGGTTTGACATTGTGGGAAGAGGCTGTTTGCCCCACACAGAGTTTCTGTGTTGGGTTGTTTCCTCTGGCAGCATGCCTTTGGTCAAAGAAGGCGCAGCGGGCATCACCCATCAACAACAGTGAGCTTTGGAAATCATGGGTGGGCATAAGGCTTTGACACTGAATGCCCTCCTTCTGTGTGTTGTTTACTCAAAGAGATTGTTGCAACATATGAATGTTGTGGAAAGGTAAATTTGCAATAAAGTTGAGCATTATGTTTTAGTGTGACACTTGTGAATTCGTACAGTGTGCAAAAGCAACTACAGAGCATATAATTAAAAAAAACCCACATATTTAGCTATGAAAAACTTTTAGGCGCTTCAAAAAGTTCTTTTTAAGAGTTATTTTTCTGTCTTTAATTTATCTGTCACACATCCTGCACTGATCTACTGAACAAACAGCTCACTGATCTTTGTTCTTGTTCTGGCCATTTCAAGTGAATCATATATTGCTGTATAAGTAATTAATGTCCATTGTTAAAATTCAAATCAATAATACATTTTAATGATCCAAACTATATCCTACTTTTTTTTTTTTACTTTAAGCAGTTTTGAGTTTTCGTTCTCAGGTGTTTCCTTTTTATGGTTTATGGTGTATGAACAAAGATGCAGGAGAAATTAATTTTATGTGCCCCAGTTTCCTGAGCTACTCTAATTAGAGTTGGAAATTAACTCTACCAGACTTGGCAACCTTCTGAGAGCGCGAAGCCAATCAGTAAATGCAATGCACAACTTCATGTCTTTGTCTCAATGCACTGCCGTGCAGAAAACCTCAAATAATGAGAATTAATTTTGATTTGTAGGTCAAGGATGCTTTGATGTCTGTAATAAAAGTGAAGGATTTTATGCACATTTTGTTTTTGCACAGGCTATGCATTAACAATATTTAAGTGACAGTTTTTAGGTCTTGGTAAGCAAATTTTAATCATGGTTCTATTGCAGGAACAAGTCTGCAGTTTGACTTTACCATCTATCCATCAATCAGTTCAGCAGTCCCTTTCCTTAGAGCCCCAAATTTAAAGCCTAATGACTGTAGAAATATTTGCTGTGGATTCAATGTGAACTTTAGTATTTATACTTTAAGAAATGGCTAAAAATAAACCAAGAACTCTGGAAGCCTGAATCAGGAAAATTAAAGATTTGGATGCTCCGCTAGCCCAAAAGTCACATCAGCATCTGCATGTCAGAAATGCTGCAGCATCAATTTCAAAAACCTTTTAAAGGTCTTAAATTGCTGTTTGGGTTTTTGTCATTAACAGATGGCCATTTCACTGGAACTCCTCCAACGTACGGTTACGATGCAGACCGAGCAGAGGAGCAGCGGCGGCACCATGACATCCTGCCGTACATTGACGACTCGCCGTCGTCCTCGCCGCACCTCAGTTCCAAGAGCCGTAGCAGCCGGGATACACTCTCCTCAGGATCATTGGAGTCCTCCAAGTCGGTCAGTGTGCTATCATGTCTTCTCATCAGTATTAGCTGATACTTTTTTTTTACTTTTCTAGTAAAAACAAACTAAAGGAAGAGGTGAAGAATACACAAAAATGCCTGAAAAGGGCAAATATTTTTTACCTTCTAACTTTTCATCAGCTGACGGTTCTCGAGGCCTATCACTTTAAATTAAAACATTTCTATAAAACATGTTTTTCCACCCTACTACCTGACACCTAAGAAAGAAACAAATTAGCCTTCAGAGATTGATTGCTTCTGGGAGAGTTTTTGGCAGAATTATTCCCCATCCCCATAACTTTACAACCATCTTTATCCTTCCAGCTCTCTTCTTTCTGCCTTTCTGTTTCTGTAAAAATAGATCCAGCAATATTTAACATCTGACACTCTTTACATGTTATTGTGAAAATGACATATTAGTTTCATAACACCAAAGAGCTACTTTTCTTAATTTTTTGTGGAAAATGGAAGGGTGCCAGAGTTTAAAGTAATAGTCTAAAATGGCTTCTGAGCGGTGAAATCATTGTGTTGGTTGTCATGAAGATGTTTTAGTTCGTAACCTTTCAACCTTACTACACCTGGAGAGCATTCATAATACACAAGAATTGAAATAAATAGCTTACATTTGACAATAAATAATGGATGTTGCTTTTTTTGTTTGACAGATTTAAGTCATCCAAAACAAATACAATTATGGCAGCGTCATCCTTTCCTACAGTTATGCTGAAACTGATGGAGGTGCAGAAATGTCAAATTTTTATGGGGAAATTACACAGGTTGTGAATTCAAGAAAACATTCTAGTGCGGATGTGATGCCTGTGACTGTACAATTGTAATCACATGGTAGCAAAAGTGTGCTATGTTAGCAGTACCGTGATGATTACATTCCCTCTAGGATCCCAGAAATGTTATGTTTGGTCTTAATTGATTGTAAAAGGGACATCACTAAGATTATATACTCTAATTCTTCAAAGTAAATTTGCAAAAGTCATCAATGTCTTATTGATGTCTTATGCAGGATGCTCAAATCCATTTATTATTTAAACGTATTTCTCTACTACGTAATCACGTAACATATTTGCTGTTGTGTCTGAGGAATGTTTTCAGTTTCACTCACTGCAGTTTTTGCTCCAAAGCAGTTCCCCTCTGAAAGTCAGTCAAATATATGATGCAACACTTAAACAATCCTCCCTTAACAAATTCCCAGCGGTGTCAAACAGACTTTCATAGGCTGCCAGAGCAACTATCGTTTTTTTATTTGCCCTTTGAAAAGTCTTCCACAAACATTGCTCCTGCCTCGTTCTTTAATTTATGAATCGGAGCCCAAACAGGCTCAATTTGGCCCAGTGTGAGCTGATGGTTTTATGATGTCAATGTGGTGACTCACCATCAGAGATGACTTGACTTTTGTCAGTGGCTCCTTTTTTCTTTCCTCCTATTGTGACTTTTCCTCTCATTAGAAAGTAAGAGGAGAATAGGGGTAACTGATCATGAAGACAGTTTTATTGCTGCTGGAGTTGCAGAAGCGTAAATCAAGGACAGCTTTCTCCCTCAACCTATAAAGCAGTTTATTTTTTTTTTTAGCTTTGAAGTTTGACTACCAGAACTGCAACATCATAAAGCCTCGTAAAGTTCACCATTGTTGTTTTCATATTATACTTTTGGTGAGTCATGCCCCTGCTTGCTTTGGCTACATGTAACTTTGACATAATAACCATAAGAAGTTAAATCTTTCTAGAAAATCTGGAATTGTTTGTATTTCTTGCACCTCGTATTTGTTCGAGGTGCAACACGGAATAGCCAAGCAAACACGAACATAGGAGGGAATCACAATAGGGATAAAAAAGAATCTTGTTAAAACTCTGTTATGGAGCTGCCATTTTGTTTTTTTTTGTACTGATCTGACTGTTTCATCTATAAACCTCAGTCCCCCACAAACAAGTTAGAAGCAAATCAGGTCATGAGAGCTTCTTGTTTAGGTGTGTACCTTTAATGCTGCACACAGACGCCTCTTTAAGTTGGTCCCGAAGACGGACTCATTATTTGCCAGCATAATGAATAAAAGATGGATGTCTGGGCATCTACTCAAGTCTTCTATATTCTGTCGTCTGAATGGATGAAATAATGCTTAACCTGAGTCCTTTTTTCTGGTGTAACCATTTTCTCCATGTTTGCTAAGCCTTTAATGCTACTTTATAAGCATTGAGGGTGATGACACATTTTTATTCATTGTCCTAGCTACTTTTTTGTTTTGTTTTAGGCCTTCATTATGAGCTGCTTTAGAGTGTAGTAAATCCATTACATTTTATTTTAGCAACACCTAAATGACAGCCCAGAAAAAAAATATTTTAATACATTTGTATACATACTTTCTTTATATGTGTATTTTAGTGCCTATATATAATGAGCAATAGAAACATACAATGCAGCGCAGAACTCTAAACAATGTCATACATAATGCAGAAGCTGTCAAAATCCATCGTCAGACTGCTTTCATGAAAGGGGGTGTAAGAGAATAATAGAAAGAAATAAGACAGGAAAAGATCACACTATTGAAGCATAAAACCTTTAAAGATGAGGCTTTGTTACAAGGCCTATAAAAAAGTATCAAATTTCTTTTTTATTGGCCATTTTGCCTTTTTAATTACTTTTACAAATCAATCATGATCAATACAATGTAGCTTTTTTTTTTTTTACAAAAATCAAACTCTTTAATGTCCTGCTGAAAACTGATTTCAATAAAATAATGACAATTAAATAAAAACATGGAACAAAAATTGATCGACTTGTAAAAGGACCAAGCAGGGCAAAATGTCCAAGGGAGTGAATTCTGTAGGCAAAGCACAAGAAGAGGAACAGACTGTTTCATTGTTTTTTAAGTGTGTAGTTTGTGCTTTAAAATCTTAATCACTTCTCACAGTTATTCAGTTATTCTCACTTTTACATAAAATGTTTGATTGTTAAAAGTAAGTACTGATTTATTTTTGTGCATTTGTGGACATTGTGATATGTGCAATGTTTCCAAGTTAATGATGACTGTTTTGCAGATTGTTAGAAATAATAAAGAGTCAGTCATGATGTTCCTCTTTATGTTGTCTTTGGACAAATATGCATAGTGTGTTTTTATGTTTGTAGTGTTAATAATTCCAGAAAAGGAAAGGAAAAGCTAGAAGTAAAAGATGTTTCAGAATTAAGTGGTAGTGCAGGGATTCGTAGGCTGAACATTTCTATGCAGTACAAATTATAGATGTTGGTGTTGGAGCCACATGCGATCCATTGCGATCTTTAAGTTCATTGTCTGGAGAACGATAGAAGCATATCTATACTATCTAAATAAAATTAAAAAGATGTAATTATGAATGTCTAGCTTTAGTGAAGTAGTATTTTTACAAAAATCATAGTAATGTGACTGTTGCAGGAGTTGCAACATAATGCAAAGTGTATTCAGTCCTGCATTTAAACTGCAGGTTAACAACACCGTCTATAATAATCCCAGAGGGTTTCATAATCTACTCAGCCTCAACTGTTCCTTGAAATCTGCATCAGCATCTACTTATGCAGTGGCCATGGAAACCGGTTTCAAACCCATTTGCCCCATCATTTTAATAAATGCATGTACGCCCACAGACATCGAAGCTCTCCCCGTATGTGTGCGTAGAAGGCAGGGTGCAACATATTGTACGCTATTTTTGTAAAGCAACAATAAGTAGCGCGATTCTTATTGAAAGTACTGTAAAGATTTGCTTATTTATTGAGATATTACTATGATAAAGAGAAATATTGACTTACCTTACTTGGCCCTTGACTCCAACAGCCTGAATATGCTAATGTACCAAACTGATTTAAATGTCCTTTTCATATAATCTTTTTTACCATTTTCCGTCGATAGCATATAAAATGTGACACTATATTGCCAAATATATTTGCTCAACCATTAAAATATTAATTTCAGTTGTGCTAAGCACTTACACAGCCACAAGCTCCAAGTCATGCTTTGTGAAAGAATGGGATCTCAGGAGCTTAATAATTCCCACTGTAGTGCCATGACAAGATGCAGTGGCTCCAGCTGTTAATTTTTCTTACTACTAAATGTTCGATAATGAACTGTTAGCAGAGGCTAACGTTTCATTAGCCTCTGCTAAGATGTTGCTTGCTTTCTGCGGATGCAGTAGCTGCAGACCTTCAAACTTCAAATGGACTTCAGATAAACAAAAGTTAGTCATGTCAGTCAAAATCAGGTGAGGATAGATCTGTGAATACATTTGGCAATATATTGCATATGCGCCACTGAGCTAGTTTCACTATCTATTGTTGCAGGCACTAGTTTTATCTATATCACACTTGACATATTTTTTTCTGCTCCCTATTCAGATACGCTGTTTAAATATTGTTTTTAAAGTTGTCTATTATTGTTTTGATCCATCTCTGCCAGCTTATTTATTACTTCCTATTTTTTCCCCTCATTTCTCCTCTTCGTCATTACCTACAGAGCTGAAATCCCTCCACCTCCAGACTGGAGCTTGTGTGTGTGTCTTTCTTCTGCATGCACATATTTAGGCCCCAACCTTTTTTCAGCCATGGGAGAAACCCTGTCTGTTTGAGTTATTTCAGAGTTTGTGGTTAAACAAGACCGCCGGAGGAGTTTCTCTGTTGTTCTGTTTTCTCTCATGTCTGTGCTCCTCAGTGAGCTTTGACTCAGCTCAGGGGAATGGCGGAATGGCAAAGCAGCCTAGGATGTCTCTCTTTTTTTTTTTTGTAGGATGTTTTTGTTTCATTGAGCATTCCTGCAGCTCCTCCAAGGGTAGCCAGTAACTATAGACACTCAGTCTTATTCATCACCCTTTTTACATCATTGATGAATGAGTTTTAGTTTATCAGTCAAGACATTTGAGGTTAATCAAATTTTTCTGTTAAAAAAACAATATGGAAGCAGGGTTTCATACAGGTTGGACTATATGCCATGTATTTAGGTTGTCAGGAGGCAAAACATTGTTTGATTGCTTTGATTTTTATTTTTTTTATTTCTTTTTGCTTTTGTTGTATGAAATAAGAGTTGTTGCATTTTCTTTTAAGCTTTAGACATGTTTCTATTCTCCACAGACTGAGTGTGACCTTGAAAAGGGTTTGGAGATGAGAAAGTGGGTCCTGTCTGGGATCTTGGCCACAGAAGAAGCATACCTCAGCCACCTTGAGGCTCTTTTACTGGTGAGTGAAACTGCATTGCACAACATTAGTGTCTGCTTAAGTAAACTCCAGGTTACACCTGGTCAAACCAGCAACAGTGGTCATTTTTCTCTCCTGATGTTGCCAACTTTCAGTCAGTTGTTTCAATTTCAGCACTTCAGACATTTCAACAGGTTTCTGCAAACCAGTGATAAATTACAGGTATTTGAATTGGATAATTCGATTTCCCCCTTCTCATATGTTTCAATATACTGTTGTGTATTTAAGGAGACCTTACACCAGTACAGGGAGAAGGAATCAAAAATTGACTTTTGACTAACTAGCACAATTTTTACACTGGTTTATTCAGCTCTGCTACTTTATTAAATCAGCTGAACTGAATTTCTGTTTGTCTCAGCCAATGAAACCATTGAAGGCAGCTGCTACAACATCCCAGCCTGTTCTCACAGTGGCCCAGATTGAAACCATCTTCTTCAAAGTGCCTGAGCTGTACGAAATCCACAAGGAGTTTTACGACGGACTTTTGCCCCGCGTCCAGCAGTGGAGCCACCACCAGAGGGTCGGAGACCTCTTCCAGAAGCTGGTGAATACAATCTGAGTTCCTATCAAAGGAAAATTAAAGGGTTGGTCTGTTTGTGGTTGTAGTCTGTGTGCAGCTATGACAGCCGCTGGGTCCCTGGGTGTAGCCGCGTGACGTTACCCCTAATCAAAGTGACAACATTGGGCAGCCAGAAAGGTTGACAGCAGTGGAAAAGGACATTTGGGGTTGTACAGTGACATTTATGTTGCCTGGACGCCCTCCCAAAGCAAACCAGCAGAGCTTCAGCGGCTTTACTTACTGTAACATCTCATCAAACAGAAAGATGTCAGAAGCAGAACCGGCCAGTTAAATTTGATAAATCGGCAGTAAAAGCAGATTTGATTTTTCTAGTGATCTTCCTCTTTGTGATTTCAAATTTGCACAAATTAAATCTGGATTGCCTTTACTTCCCCTTTTCCACCCAAAGAGCTGCTCACTCTCTTCTGTCCTGCAGCAATTTCTTCCAAGGATGTCAGGGCCAAATGTACAGTACAGTGGTTCTTTCAATCATTTTCACAGCAGGTCAATTAACTCACAATGAATCATTTGTTAATACTCTGAGAAATACAGCTCCTCTCCCACTGATCTCTCCCTCATGTTCCTCATCTAGTCCCCCCCAGACTGGTTGATACTCTGACGTGCACATGCACACAGGCCACACAGACATGCGCACAGGCCTGCCTCACAATGCCCCCTTTCTGCCTCCGGCAGCTGAGGCCATCACAACGCTGTGTGCTTTTTGTCTTCAAGAAGCTGCTATAAATAGGAGCTGCCTTCACCACACACACGCACAGACACACACACACACCCCCCACACACACACAATCTTATTAATGTATCTCTGAAGACTGCCTTTGGGCTTTGGATGATAAATTTTGATTGAATTTGTATTATTTTCTAGTAGATGGGCACTTGGAAGAAATTAAAATAAATACATTTTCTTTTGCATATTTATTTTCTCTTTTTGGTTGCTTCTGAATTATTTTCAGTGTATGCATTTATTGTTGGTTGAGCTCAATACATTGCTCAATAATTGTTGAGAGTGGTTCACATTTTAGCATGCATTTAGCATGCGTTCCTGTTATTTCAGTTTTATGGGTCCCTTACTGGAAGAACTCTAGTTGTTAACATACAGATCTGGTTTAGATTCAATGCAATGAAACTTCTATGTTTTTCATTTTTAGATTTCCAATAGGATGGCAACAATCACAAACTATGCTTACTTTGACAGATCTGATTGGTACAGATCTGATTGGTATAGTAAAAAGGCATTGGTTCAGATGTCAGAATAACAATGCATTTGTCCTTTACCACACTGGCAAATTAGAAGCCAACTTCAGCTTTTTGTTAGTCCATAGTTTATGATCTGAGCAACCTACAGATAGAGTAAAAAGATATATAACATGATATGTTATTTCAAGTTCAAAAAGAACAAGAATTAGTCATAAAATAATGAGTATCACAGTTGTGATATTATTGTTATTGAACAATGGACACTGTCAACTTTTCTGACCTGCTTGAAGATGAAGCAGATATTTACACATTCGAACTGTTTCTATCTTATTCCCTTTTTCGTAAAACTGTTACACCTCTGCTGTTCTGAGGACAAGGGAAAAGGAAAATTAAAGGGAGTAAAGGAGGTGATGCATGCATTCTCGTGGGGGCGGGGACGTCCGTGAAAGGATGGGAGCCGACAAGCCAAGTAGATTTTTAGGCTGCTGGAACTCTTGATAGAGCTGTCTCACCATGACTCCTAAATCTGCAAAAGCTTAGGAGTCATGAGACATCAGAACAAGGAAGATGAGAGAAGGGATGAAAAGAGGAAAAGGCAGAGCGTCGCTGACAGGCTATGAGAGTGAAGTGTCAGAGAGAATCGTTTGAAGGCTGAAAATAGGGCAAAATCACAGTTGTGATCCACATCCTCCTAAACACACGCCTCAGAGATGGGAATCTGTTAAACTAGTGTTGAATTTGTTTTATCAAAGATGAGTAAAAGAAGATGAAGCTTTTCTTTTTAAACTGTGGCTGTGACAAGCTTTCAGTTTGCTGTTGGTTGTTAGCTTGACTGTATCATAACATTGATCAATAATTCCCTAATATCTCTCGGACAAGCCTTGTCTTTAAATTTAAAATGTCTCTGAATTAAACTTACAGTAAGTGTCTCAGCTGCTACATAGACTTCATCAATCTCCACTATTATTGCCACTTCCGGTAAAAAAAAATTAATAAATGAAAAAATCCTACACAGTTGTTAGTCATTTTAGTCCCTTGCGACTCAATATCTTTGTATTCTTGCTTGTTTTCTCCCTTAAGAAACAAAATCATCCATAATGTGATGCTGAGGGTCATTTTCCCCCCCAAATTCAGCTCATAAAATTTGGAGCTGGAGGCAACAATGTTATTTCACTTAGACCTACAGCTACAACTAGCTGACATGATACATGCTAGTTAGGGCATCTTGCTTGGATTATGCCCCCTGTAATAATAAGCAAGATGAAAGTATTATAGCCTCAATACAGCCAGAAGCGTTAGCTTGTATCTTGATACATTTAGCTGTAGGCGTAATTGAAACATACAGTACCTTTTCCTGTCGAGATGAAACAATGCTTTCTCTCGTCAGAAAATGTTTACAAGACATTTGAGCAGTTTACCAGCCAAAGCTAAAGTCTGCCGTTTTTATGTAATGTCACTCGGCTGTTTTCCTAATGTTGTTCTCTGCAGTAAATTACACAGCGACTCTAACAAATTGCAAATCCCAAACTGAGAAATCCAAACACCGAAGCATGTTTCTTCCATCTCTCAAAACCATTTTCTGCCCGACTCTATGGCTATGATCCATAAGCCTTCACGCTGTCGTATGGGGATGTGGTTGTGGGATATTTGGGCGACCCGTTCCCTCTGCGGTGAAACTGTCACGCTCTGAATTGCCCCTGCAGTAGTGCAGATTGTGTTGCCTGGGGAAAGATTTTGAAAGCAGCACCTTGCTGCTTCTTGCTGCTTTATGGCGCAACAGCATTTTTGCTAAACAGCGTTTTAAATCTGTTTTAACTTGGACATAATATACAGCCTTCAGTTTTGTGGCATATAATTTGAAAGTTGTACAGTTGCAGTAAAAGAGTGCGTGAACTAGTTGCAGATATGAATTTGAAATAATTTTTCTCCAGAGCGGAAAAGTTGTATGATATTGAAAAACAAGAACTTGGTGCTCAAAGAGCAAAAGCTCAAAAATGTTAAAATCCTATTCTCAGTTTTGAATTGCTATTTTTAGATAAACTTACTTGTCAATTATTTTTTGACAAAAGGTTGTGAAACATTTTTCATGTTGCAGTCTTAATAAATATCCAAGCTCTCATTTCTAATTATTGGACAAAATGAAAATAAGTAGGTCTTTTAAGATTAATTTCTAAAAAAGTGCATGAAAGGTCTCAAATGCTGCCACCTGAGATCAGTTTTGCAAGTAAAATTTCCTGTTCGGTATGTTGAGATGGGAAGTGCTTACATGTGTGATAAGCGTTTTAAAGGTGGGGGTGGGCGCATGGGGGTCGATCTTGACAGCTCACACAGGGCCCACCTCCGCTCCACTGTACGCTCTCCTCTCTCTGCTTTTGTTCCGAAGAATTGATCGTCCTTTTGTTCTCCGCTGAGATGAATCTCAGCTCTGGCAGACAAGCGTTTGCTGGAATTTAATTTCGTCATCAAGCTTCCTAAATGTGCTATCATAGCCTCTGTTACAGCACTGGTTAATTATTCCACTCAACACAGACCAGGTCTCACTAGTTGCTATAGCAGCAAGCGTCTAGGACCACCATAGTAAAAATGGGGATGTTTGACCGTCTGTCTTCTTTGCTGGCTGTTTTGTTCGATTATGTATTTCAGATTCTACTAAACTAAACTGTCTTAGCAAGAAATTACTTTGATTATGTATGTTGCTATTTCAGCTTGGCTCTTTTTAAAAAGCAAATTTTGAAAATTTACCAAAAATCTTTTTCCTTTCCCTTTTAATTTTTATGTGCTAACTTTTCCTCTCCTTCTCAGGCCAGCCAGCTTGGAGTGTATCGAGCATTTCTGGACAACTATGAGCTTGCTGTAGAGACAGCGGAGAAGTGCTGCCAGGCCAACTCGCAGTTTGCTGAAATCTCTGAGGTGAGACTGACCACATAAAATAGACAGGTGGTGCTTAGGGAAGTGGTCATCCAAGATGTAACCGATCTGGTATTCTTTTCTCTCTTGGAGCTCCAAGAAAATCCTTTGGTCCGCTTGTTTGGTCTGGACCAAAACCAGACCAAAGGTGCGGTTTGTGTTCACATTGTACTTTTTTGCAAACAGATTGTAATTTGTAAACAAAGCCACACATGTGACAATCATTGCTCCCATTGCACAGAAATGACTGGACCACAACAGAGCACTGAACTGGAAAGTAAACAAACGTGGAAGTCCTGTGTGATGCATTTGTGGTATTAGATCTGCAATGCCAGTTTGTAAGTCAAAGCAGCCATTCAACATGGATTTTGCAATGTGAAAACAGGGTCCCCAAATGTGTGCAAACTGAATGAGACGAGATGCTCTGTTGTTCCCTGTTTGAAGTGACTTAGAAAATATTTTTGTGCTGTTCCACTGAATCAAGTTCCAACAAAACTAACAGAAAACTTCTCTTGATTCATAAACTGGGTTCTTCACTTTATTGTTATAAAGTTTGACTGTTTCAGCTGCTCTTTGCACAGTTCTGTCTGAGCAGCATGCGTAGCGATTCACATGACACAAATGGGAATGAATTACCAACATAGTTTATTTTTATTTATTTATTTTTTACAGCAAATGGACAGAATTTCTCAGTTAGCTTGACCACACTGCTACACATGAGTTGCTCAAAAGCAAACCTAATTGGAAGAATGTATAACTGTGACTACTGAGCAGTCTGGTGACCTTGATGCTCTTGATTCACAACTTCTACCTTTTTTCCCAACCCACGAGGATCTTTCTAGTACATAATTTTTCATCTATGTTTTATGGAGGCCTGCCAGTCAGCATTTAGGTGGGCATCTACATGACGTACATGAAATACATAATGGAAGACTTACTAATGGTCTAAGTAATGATGAATAACTCTGAGCCATTTGAGAATGATAGTAGGGCCAAAAAAAAAATCTGCTGATGGTTGAATAATTAATCTGGAAGTGAATGACTTTTAGTGGTTGAAGAAAAACTACATAACGTTACAATTTTTGTGTTGTTTGTGCCAACTTAATTTTAGATTACTAATTTCTTGTGTTTTTTTTTTTTTTTTATCCCACCAGAACCTGAAGGTGAGGAGCCCTAAAGACTGTAAGGATACAGCCAAGAACTCCCTGGAGGGTCCGTCATATTAAAGTTACTTTAAATCATAAATCTGTTTTGTTGTATATTGCATGCAGAATGAAATTTTCACTCTATTTTTGTCTCATTTTACTTTTAGCTTTACTGTATAAACCTGTGGACCGGGTGACACGCAGCACTTTGGTGCTACATGTAAGCAAAATGACTGGAAGCATGCTTTCTTGAAGTCACAGCTGTCTATCTATTAGAAACTGAGAATTCAAATTGTTGTTTTTTTTTCTAAGATATCTTTTGTTTTTTGATACATTACTCTGTCATCTACTCAAAGGACTTGCTAAACACAGCCCACCAGCCACCCGGACCACCCGCTCCTGCAGGATGCCCTGCGGATCTCCCAGAACTTTCTGTCCAGCATCAACGAGGAGACGACATCAAGGCGCCAGTCTCTAGCTGGGAAGAAGGGAGAGGTGAGTGTTCAGAATGCAAAGCAGTAAACTAGTACTGCTGTTTTTATCCAAAGAAACGAGCTTGGAAGGCAATAGGGAGCTGACTATCCTGTCCAGGGATCCTCTGTCTCATGTTCTGGCCAAGTTGAAGCACAAAACAGGAACCTGAGTATTAGCTAAGGCTTCTCTTTGTTGCTCCAAATCCTCCAGATAGTTTATAGGGGCTCAGCAAAGGCAGTTTCTTACTCAACCTCTTTGATTTAATAGTCATTCTGTTGACATAGAATGTCTTCCTTTATAATTTGAGCATATTGTTTAGGATTAATGTTTTTTTTTTTTGTTCCAAGATTATACCACCTTCATGTTTTCTGCTTGCCCTCAGTATAAATTACTCATACAAAACAGTTGTTTTCCCTTGTGCTGCAAAGTTTTAACTAGAACTTCTGTTTGTGGGCTTGAATCACTGTGGGATGATTTCAGAAATGTTTTCTGGCCTGTCGAGGGACTACTGCTCCAGGATTTCCATTCTGGTACCGCCTGCAGTCTTGATCATAGAAAACCCAGGATGTGCAGATTTCTCTGCCTTCTCTAAATCTTTTCATGCAGTTTTCTCTATTATATGAAATCTCCAAATTCATTACATTTTGCCTTCTTTCTGGGTTTTTGAATCAACTCAATTATTTGTTACATTTCATCAGGAACTCATAATTGGTCCCTTTTCTTTAATAATTTTTTTAAATCTTTGCTATTCTCCATGCTTTACTTTTCCAGGGCCTTATAAAATTAATCAGACCTTTAAAGTTTATACCTTTTTTCACATTTTGTCATCTTACAATCACAAACTTTTGTGTATTTCATACAATTTTTTGTAACACAAAGTTGCATATATTATAAAAGGAGTTAAGTACCGCCTGATCCTGGAGGAAAACCTGTAGAAAGCTGCAGAAGACTCGAGAGGTGAACTTCCAGCAGGACAAAAACACTAAACGTACACCCAGAACTACAGTGGAAGAATTATATCCGTTTATGTATTAGGATGGCCAAGCCAAAGTCTATAGACCCAGCTTGAGAATCTCTGATACGATTTTAAAATAAGTATTAACCGGATGGACCCAAGTACAAATACATAATTCACAAGCTTTTCAGCTCTGACTCACAACAGAACAAACCCTCTGATGAGCAATATTTTTTTATTTTATTTTATTGCGATATTTATTTGCAAAAAATTGTGAAGACTACATATTGTTTATCTTTAACTTAGGTTAAAAACTGAAGGGATTAAAAAAACAACATAAATATCGTAACAGGACAATGGAAATATTAAAGCACTGTGTAGGGATGTCTATTATTTTGCCAATCGTCTGATTGATGACCATGTGCTTTAAAATGACAAAATGAACATTAATGCAGTTTTTTGGCTTATATAGGCTTTCTGTCTTTGTTTGCTCCTGTGGTTGAAATATTCCTTAATATTTTCTTCCATATCCCGTGTTTCCCCAAAGTAAGCCTCTATGTTTTTTAACCTATGTCAGCTAAACTCACCTTCCCATCTTGGGAATGATGACATCACAAACTCAACCTCCAAATGACTTTGAAGTCACCAGCAGATGAGTGCACAGGAGCCACCAATCTGCAGCCTAAAGCAGAGCCCATGTCCTTATATGGTCATAGCAGGGTTGCCTCCATGAGACTGATTCTGTCTGTTTGCTCAGTATCTATCAATCCCCCTTCCAACCCTTCCACCCGTCTTTCGAACCAGCGCACACAGACTTGCCCAACCACCCGCTCCCCCACCAGTTTCTCCCCCCTGGAGATGAGTTGATGCACATGAATGGATGCCTTGATTGATAGCCTTTGCCATACACAGTGCCTTGTAACGTGCCACCAGTCCACACTGACTGGCAGATTTCTCGTTAATTATTTATTAAGGTACATGGGAGGAGGCGAGACGCCGGGGCTCCTCCCCCCGCTCACAGGGGGGTCATTACTGCACCCTTTCCATTCACACACACTTCCCTACTCCTGTTCCATATGTTAGAGAAACATACACACTCACAAACACACACACATTTCCTTTATTATCCCTGCAGGCCTCAGTTTCCATCTCAGTCAGTTCAGGCCCCAACAGCAGTTATCAAATATTTATCATGGATACATGAAAGGAGCTTTCTGAAATCAATGGGCTTCATTATATTACACCTTACAAAAGATAAAGTAAACAATAGGCTGGAGTTGTTGTTGTTGTTTTTGTTGTTGTTGTTTTTTTGTCTCTTGCCACAGAGAAGCTGCTGATTTTCATGTAAAAACTGTGCATTTTAACTTCTACACACATTTTCTTTTTAAATAAAAAAATCAATATTAATTCTCTTTTCTTAGGGTTTAAGTTGCATGTTTAGAGTGTGGAATTTCATTTCTCTCAGTTTCATGTCAAGCTTATTTAATTTGTCAGTGATAAGGAAGTTAGCCAACATGGTAGAAACCACAAGTGTATTTGTGTTATTGGCTAAAAGCTAAACAATTGGAGGAGCACTGAAGGGTAATCATTCCCGCCATGCATAGACACTGAGTCACTTCCAGCTTGGTCAGTGACGGTATGATGAAACCGATGAGTACAGGTGGGCCCCCAGAGGCCCTGGCCCCGCGCCATAAGAGTGGGGGTGGCGGCAAAACAGGAAGCACTTAATTAAAATGCAAATGACGGCTCTCATGTCCTCGCTCTGCTTTGTTTGACTTTTGTATGAAAATAAAAATGCTGAACCAGAAATGCACACAGTCATTTACGCAATTCCCCTTTCCCCGCCCCAGAAAAATGTCCCCCAGCCCGCACGCACACACAAGAACACACACAAAAAACTCACACATGTTCACACGAGTGCAGAGGTGCCCTTTAAAGCTAATGCTCTAAAAATAAACCATCCCATTACTTGTGCATTAGGCTCTTGGTGAGGCTCCTCCAAGAGTTGGTCAATATTTAATCTGTCCATGAGCATTTTTTTTTCTTTTTTTATGCGACGGTCAGCTGCTGGAAAAATGGGTAAAGATGCATTTCTCTTCCTGCCTGTTAAATACTCTGGCATCCTTTTCTCTGTACTGGAGGAATGCAGCAATAGTACCTTCTAAAGTTATTCATACAATTTGAAACTCAGAACAACAGTTTTTAGACTATTTGATAGGACTCTTATATAAAAGATAAACCTAACATTACAGGTAGCTGTGAAGTGGCAGAAAATATCTCAGTTCTGTCCTTTCTTTTAAGTGCACTAACTTTGTTGTTTTTATTTCACTATTTTCCTTGTCTTTAATTCTTTTATTTCTTGTCATTTTGTCCTTCCTTGTATTTTACCTCCCTTTCTTCTGTCCTTCCTTATGTCTTATTCTCTTCTTTTCCTTCTTGCTTATGTCCATCTTTCTTTTCCTGAACTTTTCTTCATTTTTCTGTTCTTTAACCGGCCTTCATTTCCGTATGTTTTCACAGATTGTAAATTTAGAGCCTCTCCACTGTTACGGCGTATGTCATAAATTCATGGAGAACTTTAGAATTTTGTATTTTAAACATACTTTTAAAATTAAATATGAATTTTTAAAAACCACTACAGGATAATCTGTCAGAAATAAAAGGTAGAACAATTTTCTGGTGGGGGTGCCAAATGGTTTCAAGGGTTATGTAGGTAAAGTACAATAATTTCCACATCAAGCTCTAGAAATTGGGATTAAAGGATATTTGTGGATTCCATGCACAGTGAAATACTTCTTGTCAAAAAGCTTAGTGAGGTACAAATGTCTGCTGAGAATCTGGTGGTGATACAAATGCGGGTTCCAACTCGACACAATATGAAAGCAAGTAATCTTGAAGTTATTCATCACAGGTTATGGCTGTTTTACGTTCAATATGTGGAATTAGATTCTGTATTTTGATGATCAGGGAGGCGATAAGTGAAGTAGAGATGGGAATGCGTTGCTGCAATGACACACGGGTCGGTATCTACGTAGAGTAAGAAGCATCTGTGTGATATTTGTTCCTCAGGGATCTCCTCTGCGGCCTCATTCTCCTCCCCGTTTCCTCTCAGACATCGTTGCACAGGTTCTCTCTGTCATTGCTCCTATTTTTCTGCATCTTAGTCACCCTTCCTCAGCCCCCTCCTTACATTCACAAGCTTTTCAGCTCTGACTCACAACAGAACAAACCCTCCGATGCGCAAAATTTTTTTTTTATTTTATTTTATTGCGAGCACGTAAATGTTCTCCTTCTGTCATTAGCCTTAGCTCTACTCCAGTTTTCTCTGTTGGTGATTGACACGCTGGAGAGGGGAGGAGGAAAAAAAAAACCAAAGTAAAAACAGAGAGGGGAGGTCAGAAACACGATGACAGGGATGTAGTTGGCTCTGAACAAACATGATGTCATGCTTCGCGGCTTTGCTGCTGGTAAGGATTGTTTACTACAGGTTTGAAGTGAGCGGGAACAGGTTGCACAGTAATCAAACTTTAACTGTTCAAATTTGTGTCCAAATTTCTGATTACATGTTTTGTGCTTTTTTTCAAACCAAAAAGCTCTTAAAGTTTCCTTCATTTGCAAACAATCTACTAAGTGTGTTTATTATCAAACTTTTTTCAGTTTACTATCATATTTGTGCAAGAACACAAAAGGATTCCTCATAAGTAAACATCTGTCACCAAGACAAACCCTCAGATTCAAGTGAGAAAACTGTAAAATTTCTACAAGATATAAAGTCAAGC